CATCCATCCATCCATCCATCCATCCATCCATCCATTCATCCATCCTTTCACCCACCCATGCATCCACCCATCCATTCATCTATCATCTATCAGCCAACCAGGTGTAAAACAGGCCGAACAGCAATGTACAGATGAATCAGACTTCAAACTAGTAATTTAACAGTTTGCTGCTGTAAATATGATGACATTCCTCTGGCCCTAAGGCTCACAGTGACAAGGAGAGGAGGTGAAGCTGCCACTGAAATTCTGCTCTAAAATGACAACTCATTTATCGTCCCCTTTATCCTTTCAGGGCACAACCATCAAATGATCCATCTGCCAGAACCTCACCGTCTGCCTCTTATTGACAAATGACTCACGTTTAACAGCTACTCAGAAACAGGCCAATTACTCAAAGACACTGTAAAGCTTGACCAAAGATGGAGGTCAAGACCTGCTCTTTACTCCCTTTGCTCTCAGTTTGTCAGAGTCCTACTAATTAGAAAAAGCTGTGATCTTCTAGGGTTCCAGTTGAAGATTTAGAGGATCATAGGATAACTATTTTAGATTCAGTCAGCTCTACTCTGTCCTTTATCAACAACAATGTATTTATAAAGTGTGTTTTTGCAATTGTGTGCATTTCAGGTCCATTTTAACACAAGGTTTGTAATGAAAACCCTCATGACCATCTGCCCCGGGACGGTGCTGCTGGTCTTCAGCATTTCCCTTTGGATCATCGCTGCCTGGACTGTACGAGTGTGTGAGAGGTCAGTAGAGAACTTAGCATTTTTGACTGTAAATAGATGTGGATATTATGTTACAGTGAGTTTATCATTGCATTTGGCTGAAAAAAATTAAATAAAAAATATGGGAAACATCAGAATGTGTGTTTATTTTCAGGATTATATTTTCAATTTGTTTCAGTCAGTGGTTTGGCAAATTTCTTTGATTATTCTGTTTAAACAAAAGTAAGAATTTACACACTGATGAAAGTTGTTGCATCACTTGAGGTTTTGCATTTTGTGGTAGAAAATCCACAAACTTCTGTGTATTTATTATATCATCACCTTGCAACTTTATTTTGACCCTACTAAAGAATTTACACAAGCAATGTACAGATGAATATTCTTGTATTTATCAGATAACCATGAAACCTTATCCATGGTATGCAGATATTGTGTCTATATTGTGGCTTTCAGTTGCTATATCATCTTTGAATTATGCTAACTTACAGAACATTGCAAATAGAAGACAGTCTTAACTCTCTATCTTGTTAAACCAATAAGACTGGCTAAATGTAACTCATATCAGCAGCAGTACAACTTCAGTGCAAAAGACATTACTAACAAAATGTTTGATAGACTTGCTTTATTTTCTTTTGGAAATAATTTGAGTTATAAAGAATATGTTTTTGAGTTTATTTAGCTTATTTAAAGCAGCATTATGATTACTTCACTGTAAAATTGTCAGACAAGAAGAAAAAGTAATTCAGATAAAAATATGAAAAATGTATTTGGACTAAGCCTTTCTTTTAATAAGATGCTCATCAAAGATTTAAGATAAAAACACTGTTTTCAGATCCCTTTAAAAAAAAAATACCATATGGTTTCATTAAAATGTGGTTCCTAATATAAAGTTTTAAAAAGTATTAAAAAAAACACAATAAAATTCTTTTTTTCTTATAATCAAACAGTATAGGAAGTGCACGCCGCAGTCTGGGAATGAGACTCAAAGCTCTCTCAGCTGCAAAGTTTTATAGTTGGCCTGGTGAATTGCTAGTGAAGCATTATTTTAAAATTCAGGAAAAATAAAACCTAACTAAAATAAAACCTAAGAGGTTTTTATATCACCAGGAGTACTTCTGGCTGCATGAAATAATTCACACAAGCAGCAAGAGTAACGGGCCTCTATTTCAAACAGCGGCTTTAGATGTTATAATCCCAATAAATGGGTAATTCCTTTTTTAGCCAAAGAATTAATAAATGTATTTATGTGTAATGTGAACATAATTTTAGTAGTTCTTCAGGTATTGTAAAAAAAAAAAAAAAAAAAAAAGGATGATTTGCATGTCGCTCGTCTGTCAACTGAGTTTTTTTTTTAGACCCCACATTAAATCCATGTGACTGAAACATGTTGAATTCACTCAAAGTAAAATCTTTAAATGTGGTTTTTATAAAAGAATATAGCCTGTCAATAAAGTAGATAAAAAATATAAATTAGGTAAAGAGAAAGTGGAACGGTTTTAGAAGTGGTTGAAGCAGCTATTTTCAGCGATACTCTGGATATGATACGAAAAACTACTGGAGCCAGGGGGAGTGGCGGCCAAGCGGTTAGAGCACAGAGCCTGGAATCCTGAGGTTCTGAGTTCGAGCCCCACTCGCACAGACTGGCACTCTGGCTCTATGAGCGAGACCCTCATCGGGCGCCACCTGTCCTGTCTAAGGGGATGGGTTAAATGCAGAAGTAAATTTCTCCAATGTGAGATCAATAAAGTTCAATTATTATTTCATTCCATGGCACTGATAAACGCTGATAACTGCTATTTATTTGATGATCAGCTGATTTTAAATGACATATTTAAATATTTGCCGAAGTTACATGGTAAGCTGTTTTTCCTTACATACACATTCTAAAAGACGCATTTCTTCTTATTACACTGTCAAACTTTTCACTCTGCTGAATACTGATGCTGGCTCAGCTTCCAGATGTTGGAAAAACCGTTTCTTAAGAAGTGTTTCATGTGGTATCACATGGCTCTGTTGCATTTAAAGGATGGTAATTTAACTTCATGAGTTGTGTAATGGTTCTGATGTAGCATTGCATAGAAGGTGAGAAATGACTCACTGTTTTGATGAGTTCTCACGCGTTTGAAGATAATCTCAGAGATAACAGGAAATGTCACTTGGTTAATAAGCTTGATTAAAGACATCATTGACTGGCTTCTGGGCTGCCTGACTTCACATCCATCTTTAATTGACATTTTCTCTCCTCTGCAAATTAGGTTTATACTAAAAGAGTTTAAACTCACTAAAAGAATGTGTAAAGAATTTGTTAATAAAAAAACTTCTTTGCTATGAGTGTATGTATAGTGTTTAGAGCAAACTACCAAGGTTACAATTTTTTGTGTGTGTTGAATAGTTTTCCTGAAAGAGAAGCAGTTTTTTTTTTTTTATCTGTGCTGGCTTTGGTAGCTATGGGAACAGGAATGATGTAGTTGCAGTAATGTATTTTATTCAGTGCTAGGAAAAATAGCAGGACACGTGTTTTAGTTTTGACGCCCACATTTGCAGACTGAGCCAGTGAGCATGTCAGGTTTGACTGTTATTTCAGTGTTTTGCAGTATTCACATACTTTCCTTTGAACTGTTTGACAGTTTATCACTTCATAGCAATAAATATCAAAGTATTTGATTGGACTTTTAGAGTGAAATGTTTAAAAAAAAAAAAAAGGAGCTCCCTTTCTGTAACTATAAATAAATTATTAGATTTCAGAGGGTACAACCAGCTCCCAGGTGTAATTTAATCTCAGTATAAATACAGCTGCTTAGGAAGACCTCATTGGTTTCTTACAGAGACTAAGAAACAGAGTAGACAGGTCAGAGAGAAATATTTGGAGAAAGTTTAAGCCTTTTAGGTAAATTTACCTGTAGAGGTCTTTAAAGCAGGGGTTTGTCACCATAGAAAATGTTCCAAAATCGTAGTCGTCAACAGAAACAACGAAAAGAACCATGCATCCCAGAAGAACCTGCATCCAAAATGTAGTTTGAAGAATCTGTCAAAAATAATACTATTAATGCTCCTACATACTCAGGCACACTTGAGTCCTCAACATCCAAGTACTTAGGATGAAATAATGTGTTAATATATATCAAAATATAATTGTATCCAAGTGCTGTGAAATCACAGGTCAGAAATTTCAATACACATTCCAATCTATGGTTAGGGCTTTTTCAATGACTGATGTTCTGTTTTTGTTTAGTTTTATGTGTTTTTGTTTGAAAAAAAAAAGGTTGTAGTGTTATATTGGATGAATGTTGCAAACATGGTAAAATAATTGTTAGGTTAATGTAGGATTCGTCTAGTGGATATTCTTTTCTGCAAGGTTTTATTTTTTCAATGTGTATTTAAAATTATATTCTGTCTATCAATATAATGAAGTATTAGTTTTGTCCATATTGTCAGTCTAGTAAAGAGCTGGTAGAGATCATTATCAAAGGTGAGTATGTGTCATCAGGTTCAAACCAATCATGCAAAAGCATCATTTTTTGAAGAAAAGCTCTCACAATGCAAACAGTTTTTTCAGGCCATGATAAAGGGCATCAATAGAGCATTGCTCCATTTCAACTGCAATCTTGACTGTTATTGTTACAGAAAGTCACTGTGATATAATGGACCCGCCCTCCACGCTGTGATTGATCCAGTCTTTTTTAGACCGGAGAGTATTGAGTCTTACCAGACTGACTTATAGTATGCCCTGTATAAGTCAGTCCGGTTGGCCAGTCTATACTATCCCTATTATTGACAGTGAAACTGGTCAAAGGTGATGGGATGATAAATGGTACTAATTAGAGGACAACACTGGAAGAAAACTTTGATGCTTCAAAAGACTTGAATTTAGGCCAGAGGTTTACCTTCTTAAAGCCAGTGCTGCAACAGTTGTTTATATCACATAAATATTCACAAGTTATAATGGTCCATTTAATGTCCAGAGCTATATTCAACAGCAGATCTCTGGGAAGATTTTAAAAGGAAAAGCTACAAATAATCTGGCAAAGTTTGATATATTTTAGGTTTTCACTCTTAAGCTATGAAAATCTGGTGAAATCAATCATACCTGATTCTAGAAATGATAACCTCCGTGAGCCAGATTACAAACGCTCTGCAGTTTTCATGTAAAAAGTTATTTTACTTAATATGCACAAATTTATTAAGAGATAGTACTTAAACCTTTATTGATGTTTTTCATTGTATTGTTTATTTATTTATTCTTTAGGTACCATGATGCCCAGGATGTGACCAGTAACTTCTTGGGAGCAATGTGGCTCATCTCTATCACTTTTCTTTCCATCGGCTATGGAGACATGGTCCCTCACACCTACTGTGGCAAAGGAGTCTGTCTGCTCACAGGCATCATGGTCAGTACATTTTGTCTCCCTCCTCCTTCTCCTGTGTCCCTCACAGTCTCCCCTAGGCTTTGTCCTCTCCCTGTTCAAAGGTCAGCAGATTGGAGAGCATGCTGTCGTTTGCTAGAGCAATCCTGCCTTGTGTAATTTGGGCAATCCTCCCCGAATTAGCTGCATCTGTGCTTCTGTGTGTTTTGGTTGCGTAGGCGTCCAAACAAGAGCACATTAGCAGTTTGTGTGTGTTTTTGTGTGTGTTGTTTGTGTTTCTGTCCTTATTGCATAATGAAGGTCCTACCTTTCAATGTGCCATGTCCTCCCACTCTCACTTTCTCACCATCTCTATCATTCTTTCAATTTCTATCTTTGCCACAATCTACCCCTTACATTTCACCATATTCTTTCCTTTTTCTCTGATCTTCCCTTCTTCTCGTCCATCTCCTTCTCCCCAAGGCCATGTGTTTATTTTTATCTACCGTCCATCTGCTAGTTGCAGTGTTCAAGCAAACAACTTCAACACTGTTTACACTGCTGGGGATATTTCTTTCTCAACTTTTTCACTTTCTTGTTTGCTTTTCTTTTTTGGCACAATTCTGATCCTTTTAATCAAGCCATCTCTTCATTTGTTTGCTGTCAAAGCTTTTTGCACTATTTTAAGAAAGAAAATTACCTCTTAGTACTAACTCTAAACCAGCTTTTTGTGGGGTTTACATACTTGAATGTGACACAGCTAACAGTCTGAAAATAGTTCCAAAGGAGGATCCAGGCTTGAGGACGTACACGTCTTATCTTGGTCTGCTGATTTCTTTTGGCAGTTGAGGGAGGCATCTTGTTTTAATGTTTCCTTCAAAAAAATCCATAGCCTGCCTCCATTTAAAGGTATAGTAAAGGATGTTCTTTATCTGGGTGGATCATCAAAATAAGTGGTCCTCCTAATTATCCATCATTCTCGTGATATGTTTACGTAAGGCCGTCCTTTGTGCTCGTCCCCATTTTGACTTACCAGTCGTGAGTCCGACATTGTGAAAAAATTGCAAATCTTCTTTTGGAAAGTAACCTTGTATAAGTGATGCAAACAGCAACTTTGAAACAGAGCGTGCAGGAGGAGAAATGGGCCTGTGCATGCTCTTGCACACGTTTAATAGTCGTTCCCTCTAGAGAGCGGATACAGGGTTGTGCATGTGCATTTTTGTTAGTGTTTCAAAAATTTGGAATAAAATCCTCCGCTATACGTTTAATACAATGACCTGCTTCAGCCTAAATCAGAACTTGGCAAAAATCATAATATCATCAAACCTTTCCAAAAATTTTAAAAGGTAAATAGACAATGAAATTATACGGATGAGGATCCAGTGCATGAATCCAATGTACTTCGTCATTAACTATCGAATCAAACCAGTTATTTTCAGTTGCAGTTTTGCATATATCAATATTGCGAGGAACATTTCAATGTTAAATTTTATCCACAACTAAATACCATGATCCTCATCAAAATGTTTGGTTGAATTTTTGCCAAAGCTGACCTAACTTATTTTAGGTAAAGTTACTACAGTGATAAAGAAGCCATTTTATTCCCCCTTCCTTCTCCATAACTTATCTCATAATCCCCCCTTGTGTGCTTCTGAATAAGGTCACCCAGCTTCTACAATTCACCTTACTTTTACAGCCTCTCTGTTTGCTTTTTTTTTTTTTAAACATCCTTCTGGTCCCTCTATTAATGATGTAATGAGAGCAGAGGCAAGGTTGGCTGCATTACCACATTGAGGGATAAGTGTGCATAGCAGCACAAAAAGATTTTGAAAGGGCTCTCATTGTCACACTCTGTAGTAACTTGGAAAAAAAGAGGATAACAGCCTTGTTTAAAAATATTGTATGTCTATAACCATCAATAGATATGAAATAAATCTCCAAAAATAAAACTTAAAAAGATCATTGAGCTGTGTGTAGACGTATCTTTCCAAAAAATCAGATGGATGATTCAGATTTCTCCCCAAAAAAAACAATGTGTGTATTCTTTCATCTTCACTGTATTCAACATCTTTTTCTGTATTTGCCAACTCACCCACCTTCCTCACTTTGCGGTCCATTATATGTGTGAGCAAACACACAAGATAGACACACACAGACCCCATTTATTGGGTGAATTATCCAATAGATGTTTGTCATGGAGTAAAACACTCACCTCAACACACACAGAAAGAGACAGACATAAAACAGAGTGGTGGATACAGATAGTCCCAAGCCAAACTCTGCAGGCTGGAGTGCCCCCCCCCTCAGGTGCTCTCTCGGCATGGCGCCCACACACACACTCATCAAACAAAGACACACACAAACATGCGCTCCTCTGAGCGGTCAGAGTGTTTTATTTTTATTGAACATCAGATGGTTACTGGGAATGTTGCCTCATTGGAAAATATAGGGTAGAGTTTTACAGTCTTAAAAACAAAACAAAAATAACAGCCTATAGACCTGTCAAAGCAGGATATGTTTTATCATTTGTATGTGTATACAGGTATGTGTGTGATTGAGAGTTAATGTAATGAGTTTGCAAGAGAGAAATTCTCACTGATGTTACTATGACAACACATGAAGGAATATACCACTGTCCTGAAGCTACCTGGGGGTGTTCCAGGTGTTAGTGAGCACATGTGGGCGGTTGTATGTTTGTTGTCAGCGGGTAGATGGTGGGAGAGTTTAAAAGCCTCAAAATGCTGTGAACAGTTTGAGACATTTGTTTTAAAATTGAGATTGACATGGGCTAAGTGTCTCACAGGGATCAGATAATAACAATACAGGACACCTGACAACGGACTGCATGATATAGGCCTACATCTCGCACAAAATCAGCATCTATGGGAAGAGAGCCTAAACTGCTGCAGAGGAAAAATAATGAAAAGGCTCATCTCATTCAACAGAAACATCTGATTATCATTAAAAAGATTTGGAGACATATTCTAGAGAGGGTGAACATTATGGAAGGTGAGCGCAGAGTCACTTCCTTTTTTGGGTTGGCTTATATAGGGTATTTAGTTATTTTATCTCAAACCATACATCAAACATCACGCTCATATCAAAGTGAAACCCAACATATTATACCTCTTTAGAATCAAGCAATCATAAGGAAAATGACCTGGCAATGTGTGTTTTGGATTCTGGCGGTCCTAAACACACAAAACACACAAAAACATGTCCTAACACTCTAGAGAAAATTAACATCTAGTTGTATTTCCCAAAAAATAAACTAATGTGTTGCAATAATCCACCAAAGGTCGTTGTTTGAAGTCACACAGCTCTGGTTGTGTAAAACCTACAGAGTCTGTACATATATCTCCAGAAACTAGAAAGTCTTAGCTTTCAAATGAGACAAATCACAAGCATGTGGGTTTTATAATATTATTTTGCTGGCTAATAGCATTTTTGGTAAGCCATACATTTGTGCACAGGCTTTGAAAGGATGGTGGTAAGAGGCTCTAGACCAGCCCTAAGATTATTTTATTAATAATTTTCAAAACTAAAAAAAAAAAAAAGATTTTATCACTGAGCATTTGCACCATAAAAACCACAGTTTAACAGATGGACATCAAACTCCAGCCCTCTAGGACCGGTGTCCTGCAACTTTAACATGTCGTTCTGCTACAACGCACATGAACCAAAGAATCAATCCATCTGGACTGTAGAATTTGACTGTATGCTGATGCAGCATTCATCTATTTGATTCAGGAGCTCTGAATGGTGGAAGTGTGTAATATTTGAAGGATTTTCTGGAAAAAGGCTTAACATCCTTATACTTTTAAATAGTCAGCTACTGTTAAGGTTGTTTAAATTCAGCCCTTCAGACATATATAGAACCCTTCAAATAATTTATCTTTAAAAATCTGTCAGTTGCTGCTGAGTCCTGTCCACAGAAAACCCCACTCAAATCATCTCTTTTTCTCCATAGTTATGTAATGACGATAAACGAAAAACATTATTTTGAACTAAAACAATTTAGGCCATAAGCATATTGCGTAAAATGTTGAGGGTTTTATTTATAGACTTGAGCAAAAAAATATTTTTTTACTTGACCATTTGAACAAAACAGGCTTTTATTACTCCTGCACCAACTCCAATTTTCAGACCCTTGGAGTTATGCTTCTTTTAGTGCACTCTGTGATGCAAACATGAGAGGAGTTTTTTCCTGCCTTGGTGGCCACTTTCTTTTTATAACCATGTTCCATCAGGTTTCAGAGAATAACTGCTTTTCAAATAGCTTTGTGCTCTTTCATCATCTAAGTATGGAGCTAGATCGGTCTCAATTTTCACAAATACACATA